AGAGACGGCTCCGACAAAAGGAGCAGTGACGGTTCTGCCCCAGCAGAGGCGACGACGCCCGGACTGGCAGAAGCACGGAAATACTCATTCCCGACCTGACMRGAGTCTAGGAGTGAGTGCRCGAGGTGGTTATAAAAGGCGCTCCACCCCCAAAGAGGAGGTATGCAAACTTTGCGCTATCTGGTTTATCTTGCCTTTGAAAGATTTTAACTTAAGCTTCGGAGCCTTTACACCGGGTTCTCCCCGGAGCTTCTTCATCTCCTCCATTTCAGGTCCCCACTACTCGATTCAGAGGCAAGGTCATTGACAGCTAAGACCGGCCAGATTGCGCATCATCAATTGGTGCTGTTTGTGGGAAAGCTTCAAAAAGCCTCCCTCCAAACTCTCATACCCCCTTTTTTCTTCTTCAAAAAACCCAACACTCATGGTCTCTTCCAGCAACGCCGGATGCGGCACAGAGACAAACACTACTGGGGAACAACTTCAACTTCCCGTGGTGTGCGTTGGACAGTTCTCCATCCCCCTTTCAGTGGATGGAATCCCTAGTTTGAATGCGCCACAAGCGGTGGCGCCCGTAAACCTTCATGCCACAAGCATCCCCTTCCCTCCCCCTATTGAGACAACCTTTACTGAACCGACTGCCGTCCCCCTGGCAGCCAGCCAAAACCGGTTTGACGACCTGATGCAGTGCATGCGGGCAATGCAAGCCCAAATGCAACAGTTCCAGCAACACCAGCTTCACCAGCACCAAGTGCTGCACAACATCTCCCAGTATCATTATCAACAGTAGTTCCCCCAACTGCCACTGAACCAATCACTACTTCCACCTCGCCACCCTGCTCCGAGGCCGGTCAAGGCCTCCCCGCAGGATGGGCGCCCTCACCAAGGAAAGGCCTCCGGGCCCCAGAACCCCCCTAACAGCCAGGCCTCCCCAGGCTGAAGAGAGAAAAAAGTCATCCCCGCCTCGCAGCTCGCAGACGGGTTGGGAACCTCGCCCGCGAGGTCGGCACCTCGGCGCTCCAAGCCCGAGTTCCCCCTTACGGAAAACCGATTCGGCACACTGGCGGCAGCAAACTACCAACATTCTGGGCCCATCGAGCTCGGCAATCCAGAGGCCAGCAGCGCTAGTACAAGGCCCACTAAACAGCGGAGGCGCCGGCGAAGTCACCGAACCGCCACCTATGTCCTGTTAGAGCTCAAAGACAAAGAAGAGACGAGCTTGGACGAGATAGGAGTTGCCCCGATTCTCTCAGTTCCTTCCCCCCTCGCATCAGAACTCTTGGCAGTCCCCTTGCCCAGAGATTTCAAGCTCCCACCTCTAGACAAGTATGACGGGTCCTTCGACCCCAACGACCACGTTGACGCCTTCCAGTCCCAAATGCACCTCGCCAGAGCTAGCGAATCATGCACGTGCGTGGCCTTTACCACCACCCTTCGGGGGGTAGCCTGCACTTGGTACAGGAACCTGGCCCCCGGGTCGATAAAGTGCTGGGTTCAGTTCGTGCAGGTCTTCACCGCACACTTTGTCACCAGCAAACGGTGCCCCAGAGCAGAGGAAAGCATCTTCAGAGTAGTCCAAAGGGAAGGAGAATCCATACGGGGCTACATCAAGCGATTCAACGAAGCATGCTTGCAGATACCGCGGTGTAGCTCGCGACGGCAAAAAGAGGGGTAACGCACAAAGAATTCAAATGGCACATGGTAGCTAACCAGCCCGCAACCGTGGCCGAATTCCTCAAGCTTGCGAACAAGTTCATGAGGACAGAGGAAGAAATCAACCAACGAACCGAGGGCGGAAACGAGAAAAGAAAGAGGGAAGGTGAGCCCTCTAACCCGGTCGACCGGAAAAACCCGGCCTGAGAGCCGAAGTCGAACCAGTCGTTCCGAGCTCCCCTAGAAGTTTGGACGGATTACACGCCACTAAAAACAAGGTGGACTGAGATCTTAATGACGATCAAGGACGCCCCATACGTGAAGTGGCCACCTCGCCTAAAGGGAAATCCGAACGAAAGAAATAAGAATTTGTATTGTAGTTTCCATAGAGACCATGGTCACAGTACCGAGCAGTGTAATAATCTCCGAGACGAGATAGAGGGGTTCATCCGTCGCGGATACTTGAGAAACTTTGTACAGCACAACAACAATAACAGTAAGGCAGATCGGCCTGGGGAGCACGAAAAGGATGGCCCCGAATCTAGCAGTAGGCCTGCCGAACCGTTGCAGCGACAGCCTCCGGTGGAGAGGCCAGTTCGGGGAACCATCCATGTAATTGTGGGAGGTTCGGTGGTAGCAGGGTGGACCTCGGCAGCAGCTCGGACTTCAGTTCGCGAAGCGGCCGTCGAGGAGCGGAACCCTCCAAAGAGACCAAAGACCGAAGAACCAATCTTTTTCATGGAGGACGACGCGCGAGGAGTCCGCTACCCCCACGATGACGCGCTTGTCATTAAACTAAGGATCAACGACTTCGAGGTCAGACGCGTACTCGTAGTTTCGGGCAGTTCGGCGGACATCCTCTTTGAATCAGCGTTTGACCAGCTACAGCTACGGAGGAGCGAACTAAAGCCCGCGAACACTCCCCTGGTGGGTTTCAGCGGAGAGGAAGTCAGGCCCCTCGGAAAAATAACAGTACCTGTGGAAG